GACCTGGACGTTTATCCACATTCTTACATAAATTTTGCGAAAACGTCCCAGACCTCCGATAACTATCGGGAACTTTCCTTCTTGATTTTTCATTTCTCGGGATCATGCACTACACTTACGAGACTAATGGCCTCAGCAATTGCCGCGCCCAGAATCACTAATCAATCAATTCCTGCTTCATAAGACTTCTGAAATGATGAAATTGGACTTATGAAGAGATTAAATAAATGTAGTATTTTAAATTGAAAAAAAAAAAAACGTATAATTTTTCTTTTTTAGTAATCTACGGTAACGAGGATACTTGCACCGGCTGACAGGTCATCAGGCTGATTACACCTCCATCTATCATCAAAAACATGAGGAGTGTTGATGCAATAGAAGGATAAATATGTACTACGTTTTAAACGAAAAGTTCCAAAAGCATTAAAATCTATTTTACATATTCTAGCTATGGTAGCGTGAGCAATCTGATTACCGGCCTTTAGACAAGTTTACGATGCTGTATTTCTTACATATCCATCGCATCATTGCAATATCCACATTTCAGACGACTAAGGGAACCAACTAAACCATAATTTAATAAGATAACAATTAAAAACATTTTATAAGCCACGTCTTCCCCCGGTTAATCTTTCATACATTATATTTCTTAACAAAGATCTAAGAATCATGATAAAAATGAAAACCATGTAAGGTTTCAAAATTGGCATGAGACAACCAAAAACCATTTAACAGAAAACTAGTTTTACTAGTGACATGTTTGTAAAACTTCATTACACGTGCTTAATTACTTAAAATATTGATTTCTTCTATGAAACACCTAAAATCAATTGAACACGTTCAAAGAGATTGATGTTAAGCCTGATATCATTTAACAGTTCCCGAAACTTAAGTACTTCAGAAAAGTCAAGTACTTGAGTGAACAGCTCTCGCAAACATTACGAGACGTCTATCCGATAAAGAAACGGAGTGATTAAAGAATTCAACGTCACGTTCAACAAACATTTCAACTCTCATATCCTGCCACTCACTCAATAACGTTTGTTTACAATGGTTTTTGAAACTGTAAACGGTATTAGAGCACGAATACTCTTTGTTTACAAAGCGGAATCCTTCTAAAGCTGAAGTGGAATCTTCATGTCATCACCCTCTTGATGGTTATGTACCCGTAAAATAGTGTAAAGTAAACCACTTTTTTTCATCACTCATAGAAAATTCGATTTTAGCATTTTTCCTGAAATATCTTCGAGACTGTCTACAATTGTTGTGAGATGATTTTTTTAGAACACCGTTATTTTACTTCCATAATATTGGGAAATCATTTTCAATTAATTTTTTTAATTCTCGAGTCACTTATAATAGTATAATATTTATGCATACAAATTTAACCAATTAAAAATGTGAAAAGCATAATATCTTTTTATAATATTATCACATTATGTGATTTTCACTGATTATTCACTTTGGTTAATTAAAAGTAACCACTTCGCGAGAAAACTAATTCGGCATCTCCTTGTTTTAAATATTTGTTTCTCGGATTAGTTTCCAAGTAAAAAAATTATAATTTCAAAGTTCTATAATAATTTCACGTAAAGAAATCGGAGACAGGATGAACATCTATACTCAAATCTTTTTTTCAGATATGCTTATTCGTTTCGCAATGCGTAAAAATTAGTCATTCCAAAACGTTAATGAACGATCATCCATCCACCCGCGTATTCTACGTATCTGAAGTTTCTTGTCCACAGCGCTGCTGTACCTCCAACCCAAAAGCGCCTACGGCAACAACTCGAAGCTGCTAATCATCTGAGGGGGAGACATTTTCAGGGAGTCGAAATGTTCGAGTAGGAGGCAAGGCGAGGTTACTCAAATCCTTTTTTCAGACATAATTAATACGTTTCGCAATTCATGAAAATTAGACATTCCAAAACGTTAATGAACTATCATCCAAACTCCCGTGTATTATACGTATCTAAAGTATCTTGACCACAGCGCTGCTGTGCCTCCAACACAAAAGCGCCTACGGCAACAACTCGAAACTGCTACAACATCTCAGGAGGAGACATTTTCAGGGAGTCGAAATGGAGTTCGAGTAGGAGGCAAGGCGAGGTTTGACCCAGCGCCTTCTCCGCGCCGAGCATTACGGAAACA